TCATTTGAATAGATCTAAGTGGTAGATGAGATGTGCATGAATGCATTTGTATTTGGTGGAAGGATCTGGCTTTGTTTTCAAGCAAGGCTGTGCACTCTAATGATGAGACCTCATGAATGTTGTCCCTCTGTTGCATACACTCTCTCTCTTGCCACAGAAGCCCTCTCTGAACGCGGCCCATGATGCAGCACAGAAGGTGCTAGATGCAGCCACTCAGCAGCAGAAGAGCCGATGTGAGTCAAATTGTGTCCCCTTATTCTTGAATCTTCTGCTGTGTTTGTGTGTTCCGTGTTTCACTATGTTTTCCATATTTGAAACACCATTTGCTGAGTTGTTTATGTTTTGTTCACAGTTCCTCAAATGCAAAATACTCCCTTCAGCCAATCACTCACATCAGGAGGTAAACCCAACCTGTCTACAGTTACCACAGTGTCACCGCCAATGTTAACGCAGCAACAAGTTCCACCTCAGCAGCCACCGCAGCAACCACAAGTCCCACCACAAGGTCCACCTGCACCCAACCAGCAACCTCCTCAGGCCCCTCAGCCACAGCCCACCAATCAGCAGACGCCGCCAACAACACAGCCTGGCATGGTCAGACTTGAGAAATGTATTTCTGTGAATACTGACTTATTTGGATTAATTTGGAGTCCATACAATTTCAATATATTCTTGTTTTTTTAGGCAGCTCTACCTGCACCTCCAGCTGGGGCACAGCAAGGTGTTGCCAATAAGGTTGTAGCATGGAGTGGAGTTCTAGAATGGCAGGAGGTGAGAAAAGTGCCGTCATAGCAATATTTGCATACTAAAAATGGTCTTCTTCAGATCGGTTTTGTGGTTTACTGCTGGAAAAGAACCATAAGGACTTCACTTGGAATCTCTTGCTTTATAGAAAGAAAACAATGTCATTATGTTGCAGTACAAGTTGCAGCATTCATTTATGTAGAAAAATCGGAATGTCAAGGGATAAACAATTCTCAAGGCAGATTTTCAGGTTTAAAACAACAAAATTGAGACAAAAGAAGAAATTGATCATTTCTTGAACAATTTAGAGCGCACAGACAAAACAAACTTTATGCATGTTCTGTTAGTGTGCGTTCTGACAGTTCTGGAAGGTAATAGAAGTCAGTGACAGTAATTTGTACATTGTTTTATTCAATTAGATAATTTTTTTATTTGAATTTTTTGGACAATACTGAATTTTCTTTTCTCTCTTGGTGTTTCCAAATTTTTTTCCACAGTATACAAAAAGTTGCATAAAAATTTGTGGATGGAAACCCAGCTTCTGTAATATTTGTATACTGAATTGTGATTACTCTGGGCTATACAGTTTACTACTAGTAAGAAATGTCCCAAAATTATGTAAAAACCTTAAAGGGTCACCAAATATGTCGCCAAAACATTGCTAATAAAGCTTTGCAAGCGTTGTTAATGTTAGGTAAACTAATTAAAAATTGTTTTCTTCATTGAACTAATAAAAAAAAAAAACTAAAATTAAATAAGAAATGTTGCTTTGGCAACTAACTAATATAAAATAATTTTAAATTATTATATTATTTTAAAAATGATCAATTATAATATATAAATTATAAATAGTTATTAAAATATTACTGAAACTAAAACTGAAATAAAAATAAAGCTAAATAAAATTGTATGGATAATGTCTTACACATTGTTTGTTTGTGGTTTACTACTGGAAAAGGGATGGGATCTCAGTTGATCTCTTTGAAATATTCTCGTAACTCACCTGCGACTCAGATGAAATGTCGTTTTTTTTCTAGACATGTGAAAAAGATTGATTTGATCTGGTAAAGCGATCTAGTCGTGTTTTTATTGATGTATTGTTAGGTGACCCGTGGGTATTGTGCCTGGGGTGCCATTTGCACGGACTGTAATGGGATCAGTGATGTTTCTTGATTTCTGCTTGATTTATGGTAGAGGCCTTCATTTTAGATTAATGAAACGCTATTGACTATTCTACAATGTCCTCAAGATCATCTCCGCAACGAATGTTCCCAAACGCACAATCAACTATTGAAATGTTTTGTTTTGACACTAGGTCAACACAAATGATCAGGAAACAAAAACACAGACGCA